TGGCTGTTTCCAGTCCCCAGTATATGCTTATAACTGGTGGTTTCCAGTCCCCAGTATATGCTTATAACTGACTGTTTCCAGTCCCCAGTATATGCTTATAACTGACTGTTTCCAGTCCCCAGTATATGCTTATAACTGACTGTTTCCAGTCCCCAGTATATGCTTATAACTGACTGTTCCCAGTCCCCAGTATATGCTTATAACTGGCTGTTCCCAGTTCCCAGTATAGGCTTATAACTGGCTGTTTCCATTCCCCAGTATAGGCTTATAACTGGTGGTTTCCAGTCCCCAGTATAGGCTTATAACTGACTGTTCCCAGTCCCCAGTATAGGCTTATAAGTGGCTGTTCCCAGTCCCCAGTATAGGCTTATAACTGGTAGTTTCCAGTCCCCAGTATAGGCTTATAACTGGTGGTTCCCAGTCCCCAGTATAGGCTTATAACTGACTGTTTCCAGCCCCTAGTATATGCTTATAACTGACTGTTCCCAGTCCCCAGTATAGGCTTATAACTGGTGGTTCCCAGTCCCCAGTATAGGCTTATAACTGACTGTTTCCAGTCCCTAGTATATGCTTATAACTGACTGTTCCCAGTCCCCAGTATAGGCTTATAACTGGCTGTTCCCAGTCCCCAGTATAGGCTTATAACTGACTGTTTCCAGTCCCCAGTATATGCTCATAACTGGTGGTTTCCAGTCCCCAGTATAGGCTTATAACTGGCTGTTGCTTATAACTGACTGTTCCCAGTCCCCAGTATAGGCTTATAACTGGCTGTTCCCAGTCCCCAGTATAGGCTTATAACTGACTGTTTCCAGTCCCCAGTATATGCTCATAACTGGTGGTTTCCAGTCCCCAGTATAGGCTTATAACTGGCTGTTGCTTATAACTGACTGTTCCCAGTCCCCAGTATAGGCTTATAACTGGCTGTTCCCAGTCCCCAGTATAGGCTTATAAGTGGCTGTTTCCAGTCCCCAGTATAGGCTTATAACTGGTGGTTTCCAGTCCCCAGTATAGGCTTATAACTGGTGGTTTCCAGTCCCCAGTATATGCTTATAACTGACTGTTCCCAGTCCCCAGTATAGGCTTATAACTGGCTGTTCCCAGTCCCCAGTATAGGCTTATAACTGACTGTTCCCAGTCCCCAGTATAGGCTTATAACTGG